CCCCCCCCACACACACACCAACCGGCCTCTTCATATGTGGGGCGCATTATCTCTCTAAGGACTATGGACGCATAGGCGCGCACGCGGCATGGCTGGTGTAGCCGAGATGCACACACAAACGTTCCGCTTATCCTTCCCGAAGGGTGATGAACAACTCTGTCCGAACCAACAGCGCCCCTCCCAATAACAGCCCACCTCCCAATTGTTCCGTCATGACGTCAAAGCCCTTGGCGAGATTCCATGGCATTTGTTCCGCCTCGTCCCGCGGGATGACTTCTGGGCCCTGGTAGGCGGCACCGGTGAGCTGCCGCTCCTTCCACTCTTTGATCGCCGCCATGACGGTGTCGACGGGAGGGATCTACGTAGATGCAACGCACATGCATTTGGCATTAGTAGAAGTATTGCGCGCGAGCACGCGCGCGTGAGGTGTACGGCGAAGCAGCGGGATAGCCCTTGAGCGCGGGTATCGGGGTGGGTGGGTCGGTCAAGCGGGATCAAGTTGCGTCGTGTGCGGACTGTCTAGAACACGACCTGTTTGTTGTGATGGCGGTCCTGTGAAGGTGCCTGCGTTAGACGCTTCGAAATTGATTGTGCAGAGAGCAGCCGTCTCGACATGATGTGTCTGCAGCACTAGGGAAGTGCACACACCAATACCCACACGATGCATGTACGTTCCACGTACTGCCGCCGACCATGGTGCAAGAAAGTACTGCTAGGCTCTCATTGCGGGCCGAGCGCTGCCGTTACAAACAGCCGGAGTACGTACTTTACCCCGAGTTTCATTCACCATCAAAGCTGGCGGGGTGAAGGAAGGCTTCTGCTGCGGCTACTTGGCGTGTGTTGTTCCTGCAGTTAGGTGCGGAGCTGGACGCAGCAGCAGCAGCAGCAGCAGCAGCAGCATCATCTTGTCGACCCGAGAAATGACGACAGAGACGTGCTTGTACATAGGCAGCTGAGGCAGGGGGGAGGGAGCAATAACACTAGGCTGAGGCTCCTGACCTACATGTTGCCGAAACCCAATACACCATGACCGCATGTTCGCACACCCTCGGGAACACGGTGCTCTCGAACGATCAAACGACACAAATGCGCTCTTGTCAAACTCAACTCACCTTGTGCACAACCGGTTTCCGTGCTTCCTTCGGCACCGGCTCGTCTGGATCAGCAGGGGTAAACTTCGACCCTGCATTCTGCGGGATTTCCACCACCACAAAGTCCGACGGAGTCTCCTTCAGTACCGCCCCAGCCAGCCCGGGAACAACCGTCTGTTCGAGGACGTGGTGGGCGACACCGAGAGTGCTCTTGGGCTCAGGACGGCTGCCGCCGCTACCGCCGCTACCGCCGCCGCTGCCGCCGCCGCCTTGTGGGACTAAAAGCCCCTCATGTTGCTCGCTAGGAGAGGAAGAAGATGCCCGGCGGGAGGACGACGAGGAGGTTGACCTTCGTGGTTGCGAGGCTCGGAGGGCGTGTGTCCTGCAGCTGCCACCGCGGTAGAGCAAGGTCGACCGCCGTTGTCGGCGGTGCTGTTCATGAGCCTGCTGTGGTGTCAGCAGGCATGTGATGCTGCTGCTGCCTGAAAGACCGCCGGCGGTAGCGAGCTTTGCGTAACGGTGCGGGGCTGCTGTTGCCACTGGAATGCGGTAGCACAGAGCTGATGCCGAAGTCCACGACAGCGAGGCGGCAAGGCCCCGAGCGAGTAGCATCAGTTGACACAGACGCGGCCAAGCGGATGAATTCCCAGTCTGTGTGCTACAACAGCAGTAGCGCTGCGCTCTCTCTTGTTGTGCGAAGTGCTTGACAACAGGACACACGCGTAGTTTGTTTGCAACACGAGGCACGTCAGGACCACCGCGCCTCTACCCCTGAGTGATGCACCCACCCCGTGCCTGCCACCCCTTGGAGACAGCAGGAGAGTTGCAGCGCCTACTACAGCACAACCCAACAACCCAACAAATGTCGCCATCGATGGTTTCAAAGAGTTTGCGAGGCGTCGGCTTAAAACGCGGCGCAATTGATTTTCCCGCATTTCCGCATCGTCAGCGAGAAAATGATGCTGCGCTGTTCCCAAGCCTTTCGAGGCGACAGCAAGTGTGCAAGTCCACACAGACAAAGGTCTGACAGTTCGAATTGTGGAGAGGCCGCGGGACGCGCTTCAGTAAGCACTGTCTCGTAGTATACGGGATTCCTGCTGCGGCACAGAGAGGGAGAGAAACGAGTCTGACAGCGACAGTCAGGTGAGGAAAAACTTCAATCGTTTTTGTAGGTCTTATGTGCAGCCTCGGTGGCGCGGAGTCGTATCCTACCAAAATGTGGTTTTTGCTGCGCGCTACGCCGCCTTTGTTGGATTGTAGAACACATCAGCCAGCGGCAGCGGGAAGCAGGGAAGAGTACCACGGTCTGCCTCCTTGTCGAGTGTTGGCGTGTACGTGTACCAAGCAAGCTAAAGCTGAGGCCCCATCGCACTCCGGACACGCGTAGGATACGTATCGCACCCAGCCGGCAGCAGGTGCTATGCTGTCACGTGCGTGGTTCTTCTGCGCTGATGGTCGTGCGAGGCAGACCGTGCACCATGGGCAGGTTTCACAGAGAGGGCGGCTACTACTTCGGACGTCCCTGCCTTTGAGTGTCCCTTTGGTGTCCCCCGCTGTTCTTGTGGCACACACATGGATGCCTTTTTTTTCTCGCCGAACGCTCAACGTACTTTCACGCGCAAGTTGAACACGGACGATGACGGGGAACGACTATCATGTTTTCTGACGGGCCGTTCAGGCTACTTCTTCCACGTTTTTCTGGGAATCTTTGAACACCTTTACGACGGAACGTACACGTAGTTGCTGGAAAACATAACAAATAGAAGAAGCAGCCAGATATAAGGGGCAGAGTTGACAGAGACAACAAAAACCACGAGGCTGCTGCTCCGGAGGTTTGCTTCGGAGTATTTGGTACCAACTCTATCAGCACAGAACAAGAGTTGCTACTCGCGTGTCCCGAGTCCCGAGGCGGTCTAAATGGATGTCGCATTTGGTCCGGTTTTGTAAAGCTCTGATTTCGCGGTCCACACGGGGACACCTACCACCACTGCTGCACTTGCCCACCCACAGTAGTCAGTACCAAGTACGAAGTACTACTTTTACCAAGTCGTTGAACCGGTGTTGTTGTGTCAGACTACTGACTCACAATGACCAACGGTGGTCGCTGAAAATATCCCGTTGGCGATGATGAGCCAGACATCATGCCACTGACTGCATCGTTCGAAGAGTCAGCCGTCGTGCATTGAGACAGATGACACGTGTTCGTTCAACTGGACCAGCATGTTTTTCTCGTTTTGTTTACTGTTATTGCTATTGATGCGGTTGCTGCTCTTGTCTTCATGGAGGTTTTCAGCAATTGATAAGGACAACCAATAAAGACGTCAAGTAGAAGTGTACGATACCAATCCCACAGCAGAGGCTGGTGTGCTTCTTTCTGTTGCCTGTTTTTTTTATTAAGCATTTGAGGCCGAACGCCGCCCCGCTTATGCACGAACACACCTCAGGAGATTCCGTTAACCGCTGTACTTGATGGCAACACATAACATTTCACCCCCTTTGTCGCGACGACTTGACGCCACGCCCCAGAAACATATGACCGTGCATGTGATTTTACATGCCCCGATGTGTTGCGGGCGTCTTGCACTCCGTTTCACCAGTCCACAGAAAATGGTCCCGAAGAGGCCTGAGCAAGTTATCTACTTAGGGCCTCATCTACAGTATCTATCTCTCTCGCTCCCTCGCGCGCGTGATGCCCGCGATCGATAGCAACAGACACGCGAGCCGGGGCTAGGTCGCGGAAAGTTTTTTCCGCGTTCGTTTCGTTCCGTGAGAATATCCACGCGTGCAACTGCAATACAACCGAGGCTGAACGCCGCCAACAAACATGATCATTTTCATTGGCCTTTTCACCTGCCGTACCCGCGGACTGACGTCTCTGTCGCTCTTGCCGTTTGTCCCGCTTACTTGATCTGGTCACCCCCATCCCCCAGGTGGTTTTTTCCCCGATATCCGAAGATCCCGGTGACCGGTGATCCCCCAAGACCCCCCCCCCGCCCGCCGCCCGCG